GGCTTGGCCGAGCAATTACAGGCCACATCCCAAATGACCTTCCAGAACAGACTGGCCTTAGACATGATCTTAGCCGAAAAAGGGGGGGTCTGTAAAATACTACCCGACACTATGACTTGTTGCACTTACATTCCAGAAAACACAGGTCCTAATGGTAAAGTCACTCTGGCCATAGATAAATTAAATAGACTCTCAGAAGAGTTAAAGAGAAACTCTGGAGTTACTGATCCCTGGGAAAAGTGACCAAGACCTCACATCACCCTGTATTCCGCTACAAACTCTCCCGTATGCTGATGAAGTGCAGAAAGTCCAGGAAGGGACAGTACAGGGACAGCGTCCGTCTTTATGGGTAGACTGCCGTACGGAGAAGTAGTGGATAAGCCACTATGGGTTACCAGCGGAGTGAAGAGTGTTCCTGAACCGTACTGACGGATGTGCTGCAGCCTGTTAGGGTCAAGAGAGGGATAAACTTGCACTTTGCATTAACACTAAGTCAGCGGTCATGGGGTTTCTGTGTCTTTGGGCTAACACATCTTCTGATACTAACAAATGAAGTTTTGTCTTTTAGCAAATAACATTTTAAGGGGGGACTGTTGTAGAATTATTAGGCCTCTATAAATCTGTAAGGCCCCTTTAAATCCTCTTGCTATACCTCTAAGAGGCCCCATAGTTTTACAAGAAAGCTTTGTCTATAGAATATAGAATTTGCATGTCAGCAAGAAATATTATGCACCTGTAGTGTGAAACACTGTAGCATCCCACTTACAATGATAGCTTTGATAAAATGTGTATTTACTAAAAGCCTTGAAACCTAACCTTGAGAAACTAACAGTGCCAGGCTACACTCTAAATGGATAGCTGCCAAAAGGCCCCTCCCGTCGAGTGAGCTCCTCATGTTAACAAAATGGCGCTAAAACCTGGAGGAGACAATCATGACGAGGATAGTGACCTAAGATGGTACACCCCGTAGGGAGGGCATTTTACTAACTACTTAGCACCTAAGCCAATTAACAATGTCTATTTGTCTATATCTTGATTTTCTTCAATGATGTAATAATGCCTTTAAAAGGGCCTGCGAGCCTGCTTTTTAGTCAGAAGCCATTAAACTTCTCCGAAGTTCTTTCATTAACCTGAACTTTGTGTCTCAGTGTGAATTTACTTCTGCGTGCACGCAACTTTATTATCTTTAATTTGGACAGGAACAGATAGTCATTCAAACTAATTGGTTTGCAGTAAATCATCTACTACACTTGGAGGTACCAATAAATATAAGCTTAATTTTATCGATAATTTACATTTCTTTTTCTGTGAGTGGTTGTGTAGGCAGGGCCTCCGGGCATTTCTTTGCCTGGGGGCCCAAAATGTTGTTAAGATGGCACTGAACTGAGTGAGAGCAGCAGACACCTTTGCAGAAAAAGACCGGTGGTAGTTAGAAAACACTGAACCCCCATGTTTGTGCCCCAAGTCCACCATCTTGTGCAAATAAAGGTCAAATTCATCTCTCAGCAATCTGGGGGCCAGGGGGATGGAGGGGGGGACAAAGAGACATACAGAAGGGAAGGGGAACAAAATGACAAACAAGGCTGGGCTGGGGGAGAAAGAGGGAAGGGGAACAAAATGACAAACAAGACTGGGCTGGGGGAGAAAGAGACACACAGAGTGTGTTAACACAAGAGAAGATGCATTTTATTGTGTGTGTTTGGGGGGGGGGGGGAAGATGTATTTTCGCCTGTGTCTCCTGCTCTCCCTGTAACGCAGTTCTTCAGCACATGAGTTTATGCCAAAGAGCTAATTGACAAGTGAGAGAAAGACCTCTTATTAAATAGATTTTCCTTTCAATATACAATCTTGCTAACACAACGTACAGATATATGTAATTGATGTGATTCTGATGGTAATACACACACACACACACACACACACATATATATGCATGTATATTAATGTGTGTACTAGTAATATATATATCATGATGCCTATAATATTTACACATATATTAATATACTTTTATATATGCATAATACAAACAGAAATGCCATAAATATATAACATTTGTAATGAGCATGTATTGGCCCAGTTTTGTTGCTAGGTGCACACTCCAGCGCAATAACAAATTAAAAGTGAAGAGGTAACTTCAAAATAAACAAGATAACTTTATTTTTTACAGCTCTGTAACCGCATACATTCACCATTTCAGTCCCATTACCAAACTTCCCTTAATATGTCAAGGTAGTTGGACTGAAACATTGAATATATGCAAACGCACGTCTGCTTAAAATAAAGGCACTCTTTTGTTTATTTTGAAGCCCTATGAGTGCCTTCTTTTGTTGGAGTAATAGTTTTCAATTTTAAGTTATCTTTTCCATCTCTATATCAGCAATTTTTTCCAGGGCTGCTTTTAGTTTCCAGTCCGGGGGCCTAGACCGTGATCTGTGTAAGAGGCCCCAAAAAATGGAGCTGCTTCCTGTTCGTTTATTTTTGTGAGCACTGCCTCAAGAGAGCCTGTTTTTTTTTTTAAATTCTTTATTTTTGTCGTGCAAGAATTTACAACAGTGTCTGTGTAGCCACAACAGCTGTAACAGACGCAGTCAAATATAACATAGTAAAACATGTTCGTGGCATAAGTTAACTCAGCACGTTTTTGTAATTTAATGAACAGGAAAGACAACCTTAAGCAGTGTACGGTTCAACACAGGTATGGGCAAAAGCGTTTTAAGTAGCTGGGTCACATGTTGGTTTACGCCTTTATGTGAGGTATACAGTATTGTATTCCAGCAGTGTTTGTGGGTGTCGTGGTATATGTGTCGCTTGGGGCCTATCTGCTAAGCAGCAGCTTGATAACATTTTGCAGCACTAAACCAGCTAAAGTATAGTATTGGCCTAAGTCAGGGCTGATCCTGTGTGAGTAATTAAGCGTTAATCAGGAGCAATCGTTAGCTGAGGTATAGTGTAGGACAGAAACATAGCTGATCTTATGGTGCTCCAGCAATATTTGTGAGTCCAGGAGCATATATTTCGCTTGGGCCCACCAGTTAAACAGCAGTTTACAGACATGGCGCAAAGCCAAGCGTACTAGAAGTACATTAGTTGCTTAAATTCTGACTAATCTTAGCTTGTGTACTCATATTATACAATTGCTGAACTCTGACTTTAGTCCCCCCCCGTGCTCCCCTGGGTGAGCTGACCAGAAAACAAAATAGAAAGCAAAATAAGTAAATTATATGTTCCAGTATACATTCGTGAGAGTTCAATTGGGGCACAGAGAGCTGTGTGACAGATGGTATTATGCCCATATTTGAGTCTTAGTCCCTTTGGGGGTCAGCCGATGCCTTGTTGGGGCTGTGTATGTACCTTCTGCGGTAATCGGTGCAGCTGGTGCGATCTCCTCGGTGTGAAGGAGCTGATGTCCCCTAGGCTATGCAGTGTTGCTGTGGGCGCTGAGTGTAGCTCCAGCCAAGCTGTGCGTCGGAGAAGGTTTGCCTGTCTTGGGCTGGGGTAGCTCTGTATGTACCTTCCGGACGCGGTCACCTCCCCTGGTCCTGCTCCCCTCTGCTTCACTTGCTGTATCTGGGGAGGTCTTGTGCTCAGTTTCGCCTGTCCCCTCCGTTTCACTACCTTGCATGGGGGGTGCGAGTACTTGCCCCTCTGCCGCCGTCCAGTGTTCATTTTTTGGGGCCTTGTGACTAGCCTCTGCCCCTGCCGGTTCGGGTTAGCGTCACCCTTGTGATACAGCTGTTGTTGGGACTGTGCTGCTGTTTGTCCCCGTCTGGCCTCCTGTGAGGTGCGCTGTGGCGAGGTCTGGAGTGGGGCTCTCATGCGGGCTTCCAGGGACTCCCAGAAAATAGCGAAGATGCTGTTCAGCCGCATCTCCGTTTCCCGCCATGCGTCGGAGGTTTCCGCCATATTGAACACCGCTGGGTCTGTTAGTTTTGGGCTCCACGGAGCCGATTCTGGCCCATTGCTTTGCCAGGGAGTCAGTTTTGGGTAGACCGGGATAACCCCCACCGGTCCAGAGGGGGGGAAACGAGGGCTTGCAGCCAGATTCCGGGCATGGCATTGTAGCTGGGGAGCGGCCGTCTCCCTTGCGCCCGCCATGCTTGTAGGCCTCATTGTGAGTTGTGCTCGGTTCGTCGCTGGAGAGGTATCGTTTTCTTCCCCTCGGTGTCTACTCTCGAGTGGTAGCTTTAAATTCACAATTAAATGCCTGTGTAACGGTGAAATTTAGCATTAAGTGCCGAGTTTAGCAGGAGCTGCTGTGGTGAGCTTCCTCATAGCTCTGCAGCCAGGCCCCGCCCAAGAGAGCCTGTTTTAACACCAGACCAGTGGAGCCTTTTGTTCTCATCTGGTGGTAAGTGGGCAATCCAGTATATTATTAGTGGCACTAATCTCTAATTTATCTCACATTAAAGGACCACTCTAGGCACCCAGACCACTTCAGCTTAATGAAGTGGTCTGGGTGCCAGGTCCTTCTAGGGTTAACCCATTTTTTTTATAAACATAGCAATTTCAGAGAAACTGCTATATTTATGAATGGGTTAAGCCTTCCCCCTAATCCTCTAGTGGCTGTCTCATTGACAGCCACTAGAGGCGCTTGCGTGCTTCTCACTGTGATTTTCACAGTGAGAGCACGCAAGCATCCATAGGAAAGCATTGTAAATGATTTCCTATGCGACGGGCTGAATGCGCGCGCAGCTCTTGCCGCGCGTGCGCATTCAGCCCAGGAGGAGGAACGGAGGAGGAGAGGAGGCAGAGAGCTCCCCGCCCAGCGTTGGAAAAAGGTAAGTTTTTAACCCTTTCCCCCTTCCAGAGCCGGGCGGGAGGGGGTCCCTGAGGGTGGGGGCATCCTCAGGGCACTATAGTGCCAGGAAAACGAGTATGTTTTCCTGGCACTATAGTGGTCCTTTAAAGGTCCACTATAGTCACCAGAACTTAATGTAGTGGATTTGGTGTCTATAACCTGTCACTGAGGCTTTTTAATGTAAACACACTGCCTTTTCAGAGAAAAGACACTGTGTGCAGCACTGGCGTTGGCTCCAATGGGTGGGTCATATGGGTGGGGTATTGTGATGTCCAATGGTGGGCAGAGCAAATGGGGCGGTGGCGGGAAATTTTTGCCCTGCACCTTAGCCACATCCGGTTTTAGATAGGGCAGGGCTGGATGTGAGCTATATATTTCAGATAAAAGTGTTAGGATTTGGCAATTTACTAGACATGAGGGGTGAAGGACAAGTTGGAGTCAAAGACAATAACTAGTCAGTAAGCTTGTCAGGTTCACGTGATGAAACCAAAAGTTTAGAAAAGCTAGTATTCCCAAAGGGAGCTAGCGAGATTGTGTCTGGGACGCCCTGATAGGGGATAACCCTCACAATTGTGTCCCTGTGGTCAAGGGCGTATTAGCCGCGAGGCTAACAAGGCATTTGCCTTGGGCGGCATTTTCCAGGGGGCGGCAAAAAAAGCCGCCCCCCAAATGCCCAGGGCAAATGCATTGTTAGCCTCGCGGCTAACTGACATGCCGGGCTGGGTGGGCGGCGCTGGGCGGGTGGCTAGCGAGGGAGCTCTTCCTCTGAGCGGTCTGCTCAGCTCCCTCGCGCGCCGCAGAGTGAGGCTGGGAGCTGGAATATGACATCATATTCCGGCTCCCAGCCTCACTCTACGGCGCACGAGGGAGCTGAGCAGAGTGCTCAGGGGAAGTGCTCCCTCGCCAGCCGCCCGCCCGCCCAGCAGCCACTGCACCCCCAGGGAGAGAGGGACCCTTCCCTCCCCCCAGCATTCCCAAAGGTAAGGAGGCTGGGGGAGGGGGGGTTAAATAAAGAAAAATTTTAATGTGAGTGAGTGTGTGCCTGTTAGTGTGTGTCTGTTAGTGTGTATCTGTTAGTGTGTGTCTGTTAGTGTGTGTGTCTGTTAGTGTGTGTGTTAGTGATTGTGAGTGTGTCTGTTAGTGTGTGTGTGTGTGTCTGTTAGTGTGTGTGTCAGTGTGTGTGAGTGTGTCTGTCAGGGCTGCCATCAGAAATTTTGGGGCCCCTGACACAGCTCAAGGTCTGGGCCCCCTGGTGCCTGCACCCGAGTCCGCTCAAAGTGCTGCCCCC